AATTGTAGCAAAATTGACTATATAGATAAATATAAAAGCTGGTATCTTTGTATTTTGGGTTGTTTCTTCTTCTTCCCCTATGTGTCTTAGAAGACAAATGTATAAAACTGTAATTGTAAGTCTACATTAATAGCTATACAGCTATAAACTATAAGTCTGCATTAATGGCTTCATATATATATGAAGTAGAGATTAGAAAAATAGCAAATAACCAATGAAAACAAAAAATTTGTTCTTGTAAAAGATTACCAAAACTGACAGATCTTTTTCCAGATTAATGAAGAAAAAAGAGAAGATTACAGCATATAACAAATACAGCATATAACAAAAATAACAACATAAAAGGGTAGGGCAAAACCTGTATAGGGGAAGAGTTTTTGTACACTATTCAAATTTAGTTGGCATTAATTCAAACTATTGTTATGAACCTAAGGACTTAAATGGAATCCCGGGGATAACCACTCATAAAATACCTAAAAAGCATCCTAAAAGGAAATGAGAAGGAAATCAGAGTGGTACATTACAAAACATGAATTAAATAAATAATAAAGCTGTAATGGGAGAATTGAGGACCAAAAAAAGAGATAAGACATAGAGAAAATGCAATAGAATGACAGAAGTAAATTTTCTATCAGTAATTATTTTGAAGATAAATTAGTCTCTTTAATTTAAGGGAAGATATTAGCAGAATGTATTTTTTAAAAAGTGATTTAACTATATGCTATTTATAACAGACTCACTTTAGATCCAAAGACACGCCAAGGTTGAAAGTGAAAGAAAGACGAAAGATACTGCATGTAAATAGCAACTGAAATAAAGCAAGGGCAGCCATGCTTATATCAGAAAAAAAACAAAAACCAAAAAAAAAAAATAGATTTTAAGACAAAAATCATCACAAGAATCAAAGAAAGACATTATATAATGATAGTAACATCAATTCAGTAGAAAAATATAATAAGATATATATATCATCAGAGCTCCCAAATATATGAAGCAAATATTTATAGAATTGATGGGAGAAATAAGCAACAGCACAATAACAATAAGAGATTTCAATTCCTTATTTCCAGTAATAGATAAAACAAGCAGAAAGAAAATCAATAAGGAAACAGAGGACTTGATCAACACTATAAACCAATTGGGCCTAAGAGACATATACAGAATATTCTACCCAACAACAGCAGAATACACATTTTTCTCAAGTGTACATGGAACATTCTCCAGAATAGGCCACATGTTAGGCCATAAAATAAGTCTCAATAAGGTTAAGAAAGCTGAAATCATAGAAAATATTTTTTCTGATGACAGTGGAATGAAACTAGCAGAGGAAAACTGGAAAATCCACAAATATGTGGAAATGAAATAACATGCTTTTAAACAATCAGTAGGTCAAAAATAAATCTCAAGTGAAATTAGAAAATAACTTGAAGCAAATGAAGAAGGAATGCAAGCAAAATTCAAAGCTAGAAAAAGGAAAGAAATAACAAAGATTAGAGTGATGAAAAATGAAGTAGAGATTACAAAAATAGCAAAAAAACAATGAAAACAAAAATTTGTTCTTGTAAAAGATTACCAAAACTGACAAATCTTTTTCCAGATTGATGAAGAAAAAAAGAGAGAAGACTAAAACTACTTAATCAGAAATGAAAGTTGAGACATTATTACAAATCTTACAAAATATCAAGGATTGTAAGAGAATAGTATACAACGGATAAAATGCACAAATTTTTTGAAGCACACAAATTCACGAAGTTGACTCAAGAAGAAATAAAAAATCTGAATAGAATTATAACCAGACACCGAATCAGTTATCAAACACCTTTTTACAAAGGAAAATCCATGACCAGATGACTCCCTAGTCAATTCTACTAAATATCTAAAGAAAAATTAACACCAATCCTTTTCAAATTCCTGTGAAAAATAAAAACAGAAGAGGAAGGAACACTTCTGAACTTAATGAGTACGGGGTTTCTTTTTGGGACGTTGAACAAATAAGACATCAGGAACTAGTTAGTGGTGATGGTTGCACAACACTGTCAATGTCTATGGATGGTACACTTAAAGTTGGTTAAAATGTTGTTGTTTTTTAAATAATAATTTTTATTTATTTATTTATTTACTTGTGAGAGATAGAGAGAGAGTGCACAGCGGGAGAGTGAGAGGGAGAAGCAGACTCCCCACTGAGCAGAGAGCCCGAAGCGGGGTTTGATCCTGGGACCCTGAGATCACGACCTGAGCCGAAGGCAGACGCTTAACTGACTGAGGCACCCACGTGCCCCAAAATAATAAGTTTTATGTTAAGCTCATTTTACCACAATTTTAAAATCATCTTAGATCTTTAAATTCTAACGATTATATTATTTTATTTCTAAAATTTGTATTTGAACTTTTTTTCAACTGTGTATATCAACTTGCCACTCTCTTTTTCCAGTCCATATTTTAGATTATCTATTTTTTAAATATATGACACATATTTTTCATCCCATAGATGATAATTTATTTCCATTCTGTACATGATAATTCCAATATCTAAAATCTTTTTTATTTGATCTGGTTGCACGTATCATTTATGTTGCCCTACTGCCTTGTTTGCTTTATCATTATTTTTATGGAGCATTTTTTTTTTAAAGACTTTATTTATTTATTTGACAGAGAGAGACACAGCGAGAGAGGGAACCCAAGCAGGGTGGGTGGGAGAGGGAGAAGCAGGCTTCCTGCGAAGCAGGGAGCCCGATGCAGGGCTCGATCCCAGGACCCTGGGATCATGACCTGAGCTGAAGGCAGACGCTTAACAACTGAGCCACCCAGGCGCCCCTTATGGAGCATTTATGTTTGAAAACAACTATATTTGTGGGGAGCCCTTGTGACCTAGACTGAAGTTTTGCTCCTTCAGTGAATATTTGCATTTGTTTCTTAGGGTTTGCATTCTTAGTCCCTGGAACAGTCATAACACATAACTTCATGAGGTGCTTTCAACTTTATTCTTTCTCCTGGGTTGTCAGACCACATAGGCAGGATGAGCTTGGACCCCAAAACCACATGAGCACCAGCTTGTGGTTAAGAATTCTGAAACCCAAGGCTAAAATAGACAAGCTTTTGAACATTCTATCTTTGCAAATGATTACTTTCCTGTTTTATTTATTTTTCCGGGTTCATTCTTTCACTGAAATTGTTACACTTGAATCCAAGGTTTATGTGTGATCTCTGATTTGATCTTTCACTTCGTGTGGGCTCTAGGCACACATAGGTTATTAAAATCGAAGCTCTATATTAAGGAATGCACAACTTTTCCCAGGGAAGCCACGGACTTTATTTCACTTATTACTGTGGATTTATGCTTTCTATTTGCTTTCTGCCCTTAAGGATTACTCTGACTTTATTGCCAGCCCAGACATGCACTTTAAACTATTCTTTTAAAAATTATTCAACTTTTTCTGGCATTTTTGGGATAGGATGATTTGGCGGTATCCATTCTGCCATAATGCCTGAGATGATACACTCTCATCTTGTTTTTGTCCAGAGATAAAGGAAAAGTGAGGGCCTAACAGTGTATCATTGTCCAAATTATCCTGATGATGAAACAAATCTACCAACTTTCCTTGTCAGTGTATCTGTGGTGATCATTAGTGCTTTCGCCCAATATTTCCAGCTTTTTAACTTTCATGCACCAGGTAGGATTGCTGGCCATCAATATGAAGTTAGACTTAGCCATGTAGCTTTGTTTGGCTATTGAAATGTGAGTGAAAGTGAAATGCATCCCTTCTGCCCAGAAAATTTGGGAGATGGTGGGTGATTAAATGCATACCACTCCCACTGCTGCACAGGTTAAGCATAGGTCACGATCATGACTTGTTCATCTGGGTCCCTCTGAGGGATTATGATGACCAGAGACAGTCCCTTCCCATGGCTGCATAAATAATTAAGTTTTGTCCTCCTGAGCCACTGAGATTTGGGGGAGTTCTTGTTACCATAGCGTATCTTAGCCCATACTATTTGCTATATTGTCAAATACTATTACTTTTTTAAGCTCAATCCAATGGCCACTACTTCATGAGGTGTTCCCTGATATTGTGCAAAAAATACTCACTCCTTCCTCTGTACTACACTGATAAGAATAACTTTAAAAATGACTAATTGAGTTTACTATTAGTGAGTTGTTGTGTTAAGTCTTTTACTCACATTAGCTCATGTAATATTACCACAGAATTATGAAGACGATGTACTATTATTTCTATTTTACAAGTGAGGAAAATAAGGCTTTAAGAAATTAAGGAGCACACATATTGCTCATGTGATCTTTGTCATATCTGACTGCAATTACAATTATTGGTTTATTCATATATTATCCCAGTTAAAATTAGAACACCTATTTGGCTTCATATCCACCAGTCCCAGCCAGTGGCTGGCACACAGTAGGTGCTCAATTCTTAAAACATATCTTTTTCTAATTTAAAAAAGTACACTGAAAATTTAAAGATGAAAGAAATGTAAATGATAACACAACAAATGCTTTTAAGCTTTACCACTCTAAGAAAGTTTTAATAGAGATTTTTAGTTTATTTCCTTCTACTTTTTCTATGTATGTGTAATTTGCACACCGTTGACACAATAGTCTGTGTGCAAATTTGTAGATTGAATTTTATACTTAAATTCAAATATTAAGCACTCCATGCTCTTTTTTTTGTTACTTTATTAAAATATGGAGTTTATTTCACATGTATATTTTTGTCTCCCCACCATTTCCATTTGTCCTATCATAACGTTCCATACATACTCAAAACCAAGCAAAGGATGGCATTCCATCTTTAAGAACTAAACAGGCATTTTGAACAACACATTCTTGGCATTGGAATCTAGACAACATTTATCAGACACAGTAGGGAAAATTCTCACTCTGTGTTATAAAAAGGTTATCCAGATATCAACTATTACAGAAATGGAATGATGGAAAATTTTAACAAAATGTTTAAACTATTTTCTTAAAGAGAGTTCCTCCACTGCTAGAGATCTTGAATAACCTCCTGGTCAGTCATCTGGAAACAATTCTTCACATAAGTGATGAACCTGGCTTCTACTCTGGTAAGAAAACCACCTTTTTCTCTACTTACTTGCATTTTTGCTTTAATGTCCTCTACAGAACTAGGTCCTTTGGGCGTTTTAAGAGTTTTTTCCTGTTCTTTGAAGGATTGGGGACATTTTGATCTTGGTGTTGATGGTTTTGAGTCTCTTTCGTTCTAGTTTGCATTTTTGGCTGGAGTATCTCATATATATTTTTTTACTGGAGCTTTTTCTTCAGCTTCCTCCTCATTATCATGTTCATCATCTCCTGTTCCTCCTCCTCCTCCTCCTCTTCCCCTTCCCGCTCCCCCTCCCCCTTCTTCTTCTTTTTCTTCTTCTTCTCCCTCATCATCTTTATCATCTTTGTCATCATTTTCACCAGCACCAAGTTTTGCTTTTTCCAAGGTTAGAACACTTTCCAGATTGCTAAGGAATTTCACAACCTCTTCCTCTTCATATTCTGACTCTGCATCTTCCCCCACAGCTACTAAATCCTATCCACCGCTATGCACAGACTCTGAGACATGTCAATTGTAAGACCACAGGTGGTGTTATTTCCAAGCCCCCGAGGGAAACCTTGTACAGACATTTTCAAAGTTTCCAGTGTGATTTCCATTGGACTGCCTTTGTACTTCATTGCCTTTGCTTCAACAATGTGTAATTCATCCTTTGCACCAACCCCTAAAATGACTGTTCTTAAAGATAACTGGTGCTCATTTTCATCATTATCCACTTTAAAATGGTAATCTTTGTCAGCTTTTATTTCACAACTGAAAAGATAGGTCTGGGGCCTTAGAGGGCTCATGTCCATGTCCATCAAATCTTCTATGGGGTGGTGGCACACACGTAGGAGGTTAAAGAAGGCAGACAGAGATAAACTACTACTATGCCAGAGAAGAGCCAACAGGACAGAATCACACCAGGGAAAGCAAGTATTCCATTGTCTTAGCATCTATTTCATAACTAAATAAAATGTAATCATATGGGTAAAACCATCATTTTCACATTTCACATTTACATTTCCTGGATGTTATTAATTTAATCCATTCTTTCATTCAAAAGTATTTATTGAGCTCCTCTTGTATTCCCATAGACTCTTCTAAACACTGGATAGAAGGGCAAAACAAACAAACAAACCCCTGCTCTAATAGAATTTATTTTCTAGTGGGAGGAGACACATAATTAGTTAATAGATGCATAATTTAATATAAGCATTATGAAGAAATAAAGTTAGATAAAGTGATAGAAAATGATGGATTTTTCTGTATTTTCAACAGGTTTGTCAGGGATGCTTTTTTGTTGGGGTGAAAATGTTTGGGGAGAAGGTAGAATGAAGTGAGAAGTAAAGTCACCTGGCTATTTGAGGGAAAGGAGTTCCAGGCAAATAGGAAAGCAAATGCAAAGTAAAGTCCTGAGGCACTTGTTTCACTAACTCAAGAAGCACCAAGGAGTCAAGAGGGCTGAAGGAACCCAATGGGTAAGGAAATCTGATAGTTATTAAATAAAGAAGGAGCAGGGACCCAGATCTTATAACCCATATTGGTTCTTGAATTTTACTTTGAGTTTATAGGGAAGTAATAGAATTATTTTGATCATAAAGATGAGATGCTTAGATATGTATTTGACAGGATTTCTCTAGTTGCCCTATGGAAATCACCTTCTGGGGTGGAGGGTCAAAAATGCAACCAGGGAACCCAGGTAGAGGTTACTTCAGAATTCAGGCAAGAGAAGATGGTGGCTCCGTGCAGAATGATAGTGGTTTAAGTGGTAAGATATAGATGGTTTGATTATTTGGGGTATATTTTGAAGGTAGAGCCAATATGACTTCCTGATGGATTGCATTTCAAGTATGAGAGAAAGAATTAAGGCTGATCTGTAGCCCTTGTTTGGATTTGATTTACAATATATGTATGTAATATATATGTAATATATGCTAAGATTTCCAAATTATAATAAATAACACCTCAATGGATGTCTTGTGAATATTTGTCTGCATTTCTTAGATAGGTCTCCTTTCCTTAGAATATTTCCTTAGAAGAGGAATTACCTGTTATTGAGGAATTTTTTTAAAATCACTTTAAATTCATTGGCACACAATGGCTTTTGTGGAGGCATTTCTCTAATGACATTTACTTTTTGTTACATATTTATTTGTATGTAGTTTCTCCTTCTTGGATTAATTAGATGTTAACTCATAAACTTTTCCACTTCA